GGCGTCTGGAGACGCCTCCCACAAGACAGAAAATGCGGCCGGCTTCACTGCTCCGCTTCTGCGGTCGATTGTCGGGCGTTGGCGATCGCTTCGGTGATTGCCAGCGCCGATTCAGCGTGCGACTTGTCGTCCCAGGGGACGGCGTGCGACACGCCCGCTGCGAGGAAAACCAGCGTCAGCGATGCGGGCCGCTGGCCCGTGGCCGCCTCGATCGCATGGGCGTAGACCGCCATCTGCAGCGCGTAGTGCTCCGCCAGGATGGGGACACCGGCCGCGGCGGTGGCGTTCGTTTTATAATCGACCAAATGCCAGCCGCCGCTGGCGTCTTGGTACAGCGCATCGAGATAACCACGGATGGCCGCCGGTGGCGATCCGTCCGGCATCGGCCACGGCAAGAGGAACTCCGCCTCGCGCTCGAGTCTTGGCGCCACGCACATCGCGGCCCATTCGGGCGTTGTGACGAAGCGCTTCACGAGCCGCTTCGCTTCCGCGGCGCCCTTGGCGATGTCGCGGCGTAGCTCTNNGCTCTTGCAGCGCCTGGGCGTCGGCCCACGAGTTGATCGCGTTGTCCCAGTTGCTCGCCGTGGGGTCGAGCCGCTCGATGATCGCATGGACCAACGTGCCGAGCCGCCGGGGATCGACGCCCTTGCTCGCGCCGTCGGCCTCTTCGGTCGATGGCGACGCGTCACGCCGCAACTCGCCGCCAATCCGTGAGACGCTGAACGTCACGATCTCGTCGGGCGATACGGTGATCGGCGCGACGGCTTGCGGCGCGGCGGCGGCTTTCACCTTGCCGGCGTCAATGGCTTCGATCGCTTCGTGTAGCGTTCGCCGTTTCGCTTCACCGGCGTCCGAAGCGGGCGGTGGGAGCGGAACGACCTCGACGAAGCGCTCGGCGCGGTCGTCATCGAGCAGCTGGCCTGTCGCCAAGTCGAACCGCTCGTTGAGCCGCACCATCCAGGGGCCTTCGAGCTTCGTCACCGCGGCGCCGTAGGAGCTCGACAAGATGAGCCGGTCGGCCGCCCGGGTGCAGGCGACATAGAACAGCCGGTCGCGTTCTTCGTCGTCGAGCGGCTTCTCGGCGGCCTTCCAGAAGTCCAGGCCGATCGGCGGGCCCTTCTTGTCGTCGTCCTCGGGACGCAGCGTCGGCTTGACCAGCGGGCCGAGCCGCCGATCGAAGACCGCCGTCGTGGTGTCGCCACGCGTCTTGCGGTTGAGGTCGGGGAGCACGACGATCGGGAACTCCAGGCCCTTTGAGGCGTGCACCGTCATCAGCCGCACGACGTCGGCGTCCCCCTCGGTCGTGGCGGCGAGCGCTTCCTTCGGGGGCGAGTGGATGAACTCTGTCAGCCGCGCGGCGAAACCCCGCAGGCCCGAGCCCGACGCGTCCGCTTCGCGCGCCTGCTCGTGGAGCTTTTCAAGGTTCGCCAGCTTGCGCTCGCCGAGAAACTCGGCGACGAGCGTCGCGTCGTATCCCGTGGCGTCGAACGCTCGGCGCAACAGTTCGGCGGCGCCGAGGCGGTCCTTGTCGCGGCGCAGCGCGGTGAGCACGTCGCGGGCCTGCGCCGCTTTGCGAGCGTCGTCATCCAGCAGCTCGCGCGGCAGCTTCGACTGGAAGAGCCCTCCCGAGAGACCGCCGCTGCGAGCGAGCCAGAAGAGCGTCTCGTCGGTGAGGCCAAACAGCGGGCTCCGCAGCACGCCAGCCAGCGCGATCTCATCACATTCGCTGAGCACCGCCCGCAGGAGGTTGAGGACGTCGTAGACCTCTTGTTGTGCGTAGAAGGCGTGCCCGCCGACAAGGTAGTAGGGCAACCCCGCCTCGCGCAACGCCTGCTCGTACGCGGCCACGTCGCTGAGCGCGCGGAACAGGATCGCGAAGTCGCCGGGCGTGGCGGGACGGGCGGCGTCGCTCTCTTTGTCGNNTGTCGTCGATCAACTGCCGGAGGCGGGCGGCGATCGTCGCGGCTTCGGCGGTGCGTTGCGCAGGGACGCTCTGGTCTTCTTCGGGCGGCGTCCACAGCATCTCGACCGCGGGCCGTGGGCCGACCTGTGGGCGGCTCGACCGCAGCGGCAGGTACTTCGCGCCGAAGATCGGCGCGAACATCGTGTTGACGAAGTCGAGCACCGCCGGCTGGCTGCGGAAATTCTTGGAGAGCGTCAGCCGCCCGCCGGGGGGCGTCGCCGCTTGCATCTGCTCAAAGACCTCCGGCGCCGCGCCGCGGAAGCGGTAGATCGATTGCTTGAAGTCGCCGACGAAGAACAGCGTTCGGTCTTCCTCACCACCGTCGCTGCCGTCGCCGAGGATCGCTTGCACCAGCTCGGCTTGCAGCGGGTCGGTGTCTTGGAACTCGTCAACGAGCAAGACGCGCACGCGCCCCGCGATGCGGCGGCGGGCGTCTTCGAGCGCCTTGTCCGTCAGCAGCCGGTGGGCTTCGACCAAGAGGTCGTCGTTGTCCAGGACGCCGCGCTCGCGCTTCGCGTTGCGGTAGTGCTTGGCGGCGTCGGCGGCGAGGTGTTGTAGTTGGATGCCCAATTCGGCGGCGCGGCGCATCGACTCGGGGTCGCCCGCGCGACGCTGCTTGTCGAGCACGTCCCGCATCGCTTTGAGCAGGGCGGTGAACCGCGCCTTCGATTCTTTGTCGGGCCAATCTTTGACGCCACACAAGTCGCCGCGCCCGGCGACGCGGAAGTCGAGCATCGGCCGCAGCGCCCGCAGGGCGTCGTCTTGGTCCTTGGCGTCGGGGATCGCGCGGATCGCGGCGCCGAAGTCGATGATCCAGTCGATGAAGCCCTCTTTGACGGGCGTTGCGGTTGTGATCAGTTCGAGCAGCTCCGTGACGAGCGGGCTCTGCAAGAACTCTTGTGCGTAACGCGGGGCGACGTGCTCGACGTAGAACGCCCGCCACGCCGTCACGAGGTCGTCGGGCTTCGCGCGGAGCCAGCGCCGGAAGTCGGGCGATGTGGCGTCCTTGACGAGCAGGTGGATGCGGTCCCGCAGACCGCCGAGGTCGAACTCCGCCGCGGTGGCGATCAGGTCGTCGGCCGCCTGGCCGTCGCGGGGGGCGAGCTGTTGCCGCAGGGCGTCGTCGATCGCGGCCGACTTCAGCACCGCCGCCTCGGCCGGGTCGAGCACCGAGAAGGCCGGGTCGATGCCCAGCTCGATGGCGTGGTCACGGATCAGGCCGCTGGCGAACGAGTGGATCGTCGAGACTCGCGCCGCGTCGAGCGAACGCAGCATGGTCCGCCAAAAGCCGACGCGATCCCCCTTCGCGTTCAAGAGCCGTTCGCGGCACTTCTCCCGGATGCGGTTACGCATCTCGCGCGCGGCGGCGTCGGTGAACGTGATCGCGACGAGCTCATCGAACGACGCGGTGACGGTCGCCTCGTTCTCGGGGTCGAGGTGCGAGAGGAATCGCTCGGTGAGCACGAACGTCTTGCCGCAGCCGGCGCCGGCGTCGATGGCGATCGATCCCGTGCCCGCCGAGAGGGCCTTCGTTTGTTCTTCGGTGTAGGTGGGCTCGTTGCTGGTGGGGCGGGTCATCCGGCGGCCTCCACGTTGTCCGCGTTGGCTTCGTCGCTGACGGTGACGACCTTGCCAACGGACCGCGCTTGCGCGACGCGGCAGATCGTGCGGAACTCGCAGCTGCGGCCGCAGTGCTC